TTAAGAATATAGGATTAAGTCAATGGATAAAAAAAAATTTAAAAAGCATAAAGGGTGTAACATAGAAAATTAAACACCAAAAAAAAAATATAGGGTGTCACATAGAAAATGTTGATTTTTTGGAGTGAAAAAAGGTTACGACCCGAGCTATACATGGAGTAGTATTTGGGGTGTGTCGAACCTTAAGGTTTTGATGATGATAGACTTAAACTCAAGCAAACTTAACTAAAGGTTTCTTTTAGTGTTTCACTTAGCAACAGGTGAAGTAGACCTTGGTGGTGGAAAGAGTAGCCTCATCTAAGAAGAACGCGAAGAAGAAGTTTTTAAAAAAGGTTGATCAAGATAAAAGAAGAGTTCCCTAACAGGAACTTAGTTCTATAACAAGAAATATTTAAGTTCCTTAACGGGAACGTTCCCTAACAGGAACTTGAAAACAGTAGGAACTTGTCCTGGTTTGCGTGCAGTCCAAGTAATCCTCAAGTGCAGAATAAATCGGCGCAGCAACTCTTTTAGATTTTATCTTCTAGATTGGTTGTTAAATATGTTAAGTATGATTTGCACGAAACCTATTAGAAGCGTGACAAGTTGCTTGGTAAATAATCTTAAAAACGAAAAACATAAAAAGATAGATTTTAGGAAAAGATTTTCTACAAGTTTTATTTCTTAAAATCGGTTTGATAAAAAGATATTATTCTTTTTAAATATATCTTTCCTTATCTTTTTCGAAAAGATTTTTCTTCTAAACTAATTTACTAAAAACCGTGTATTTGAGATTAGGAAATTTAACATCTTTATCATTTTGAAAACCCTACTAGGTATACAAGTCATTCTTGTATAAATAGTAGAGAATCTCATTTTACCAGTTTTTGTGAGTTTATGCGTGAAGAAATCTCAGAGCTTAATTTGTGTCGGTTTGCCAAGCTTATCATCTTGTCATATTAGTTTCGGGTTTCGTGCATTGCTTGCCTAACATATTCTAGGTGCTTTATATTGTGTATTGGTTGGATTCTTGGGTGAGTGTGTAATTATATTTTGCATACAGAGAGCTAGCTTCTAGGTGAGGTAGTAAGTGTACTTTGGGAGTACGAGTGAATCTAAGTTTGGGACTTAGGTTGGGTAGGATAAGGTCCTACTTGGTAGCAAGTTCATTGTGGAACTTGTGAGTAAAGGTCTGTGTGTAATAGGTTGTAATTTGGTATTGCCCTATTATAGTGAAGTAACTTGGTTTTGGAAATCCCTTAGGAAGGGTCGAGGTTTTACTTCCAGTTGGGCCCTGGAAGGTTTCCTCGTAAAATCTGTGTGCATTTGCAATTTCCTTTACAGTTTAATTAATTTCCGCAAAAGGTAGTAATAGGAACTCACCTTCAATTTACTTCCCCTATTGTAGTGTTCTTCTCAACTAATAGGGTGCAGAACCTCAGGGTTTAAAATGGAGGGTGGGCAACGGATTGAGTATCCGGGTATGGGAGGAGGCGTGACTTCCTAGAGATAGCGCTTCGATTGTTCCCACTCGAATATGAATGTTGACTTTGATCTTCGTGTAGCGGATTTAATCGATTTCGACAATGGGAGATGGAATGAGAAATTGGTCAGAAGCACTTTTTTGGAGGATGAATGTGAGTTAATTCTTGAATTACCTTTGTCAGAATATTGGCCTGCTGATCAAAGATTCTGATGGCCCACCAAGAATGGTTGTTACTCTGTCAAATTTGGCTATTTTACTTGCAAGATTGGGGAATTAAAGCATCGTGCGTGGTCATTGTATAATGGTTGTCAGCCTTGATTAGAGTATTTCCATTCATCAATATATATAGGGTTAAAATGAGTAACCTAATCATATTAGGTAACTATAAGATATGTACAGATATCAAAATAATCTTATACAAAATATATTCTAAACCTAGGATGAGAATATTTTATGGATATTCTCTATCTCACCCCCGTAGTCGGAGCCGGAGCCGGAGCCGGAGAAAATCAGATGCTCAGACTAGATCTGAATCATGCATCGAGTGGTAAGGATAGTATGGTAACCCATGATCAAAAGAGTAGTAGACATGTGCCGGTGATGACGATTAGAAGCAACAGCCACGACCTACGTAGAGTAGAGATAAGCACTCCTAGGCCGGAGGAGAAGGAGAAGATCCACACACAGACTTGGGCTAAGCTGCAGATCCAGAGAAGAAGAAGCTAAGGGATCAAACCATCATCGGGAATAAGACACTACACTACTACGGGAAATCACAGTTGAAGAAAAAACAAATAAGATAGCATATATCCCACACCATTTAACCACTAGAAAGGTTTACCTCTAAAAAAAACATTGACCCACACAACAAGATAAATTCCACCAAATTAAAACAACAATATTAAGGGAAAGCACTCAAGTAGAGTATTATTACTAATTTTTTTTTAAAAAAACAAAGTATTATTACTAATTGTTTTACGTTTTTTTTGGGTGGTGTTTAGATAGCCACAAGGGCAGGTGATGAGAATCGATCCCAGAATCTTCTGGAACCGGGAAGGGATCGGAGCTCTAACCACTTGAGCTATCCCTCACTCTCACTAATTGTATTACGTAGTAGTATTAATTATTGTTATGAGTAGTTATATTTAATTAAATTATATTAATTATAACATTATTTAATTTTCGTTAATGATTATTTTTATTAATTTATTCACTACTAGAAAAAATTTCGTCGGAAACGCCCTAAAATCCGTCGGAAAAGGGGTTTCCGTCGGAAAATGGTTGGCAGGAAAAAAGACTCTTCCGACGGATTTTTTTTTTTAAAAAAAAAACCCAGAAAACTCAAAATTAAAAAAATTCCCCAAAAGACACATGCATGTACCCAGAAAAATTGATTAATTAAACAAAAAATTAAACCCTGAAAAAACGAGAAAAATCAAATTAAAATACAAAACCGATTAAATTCGGATAATATACCCAGAAAAATTGAGAAAACTCGAATTAAAATCCAATAATCGATTAAATAAACCCAGAAAAATCGATTTAAATCCAAAATCAAACCTAAATTTAAATCCAACAAAATCGATTAACATCGAATTAAACCCAGAAATTAAACCCTAACCTCGAATGATTATTATACCCAGAAATTGTTGTTGATGTTGATGTCGGTGGGCATGCGGCGGTGGTCGACCTTTGTGGTGGTGGTGGCGGCTTTGCGACAGTGGTGATGTGGTGGTGCAGTGGTGGGCTTTGTGGCGGTGGTCGAATTTGTGGTGGTGAAGATCGAAGAGAGAGAGGAGATCGAAGAAGCTGGGGAGAGGGGATGAAAGAAGATCGAAGAAGCTAGCTAGGGAGAGGAGATCAAATAAGGGAGATGAGAGGAGATCGAATAAGAGAGATGATAGGAGAGAGAAGGGAGAGAGGAGAGAGAAAGAGAGAGGAGAAAATGGAATGAAAGAGGAGGAGTGAGAAGTTAGGGTTATGTATGTGATGAGCCGTTTTTTTTTACATCTTTTGCCACCGGTTCAAAACAAAACCAGTGCCATATGTCTAGCCCGGTTTACAGTTGCTTCAATCTTAGCCTTTTTGCCACCGGTTTGCCTTGAACCGGTGGCAATATAGGGGTGCCCTTTGCTGTTTTTCTACTAGTGATAACACATATTGAATTGGAACACCCCTATAATGGAGTTCCACCTTAACTGCAAGTGCCTGATGTAGTAGCTTCCATAACAGCTTCCATTATTTGGGTTGTAAGTGGAGAGACCAAAGAACTTTCCATAAGGGATCAGTATTAGAATGTGTGGAGCCAGGAGCAAGTTGTTGTTATTGTTTAAGGCCTCGTATATGACTATTATGGGTTCAAACGATATAATTCGAGTTGAGTTTTAATTTAGTCACACTAAGGTTGATTAATATTATTTTAGTGTTTGAGCTTGAATGAGTTCTAAAAAACAATTGTTCAAGCTTGGATTGTTTGATCTTTGCTAACAAATTAAACAAGTTCGTTCACAATTCGAGTTTTAGATTGAGCCTGGTTGATTAAACAAAAAAGCTTCGAGTATATTTTAGAAAAATAGTTTTAAAAAGTGCTAATTGAACTCGATTGGAATCTATGAGATCAATATTATTTCTATATCTTAAGATATGGTCAAAATAATGTAAGGGTGTTGGTTTTGGACCAAATTTAGTATTTTAGCCATATATTAAGATATAGAAATGATATTGACCTGATTCTAATTGGGTTGAAAAGTGGGCTTCCAAAGCTTTTCAAAAACATATTATTTGTCATAATCCAAGTTCGGAATTAAAAAATAAAAAATAAAAAAACTTGAAAATTCTAGAGGGGAAACGCCTAGAATTATCGAATCTTCTATATGGACTTTCGAAAATTCAAGGCGTTTCTCCCCTAGAACTTTGAAAATTAGGCGTTTGGCCTCTACACCCCCCTCCCCCGGGAAAAAAAAAGACTTTAACTCCGATAATATGTATGATGACCTTGCCCTCGGTTGGTGGTGCTGATTTGTTGGGGGGAGAGAATGTCATATTGAGTTAAGAGGAACAAAAAATATGGAATACACGTGAGGATATGGTTGTCCATTCATATTTAAATGCAGGCGTGATCTAATAAAATAATGGTAAAAAAAAGGTATAATAAATGGAAACACAATCCTCTGGAAATTGACAGATAGTATCCTCTCTTTGTTGGAAACTAAGGTAACACCTCTCTCGATCCTTCCGTTGTCATCGGGTGAAAGTGATATGGATCGAACTAAAATCATAAACCGAAATCATCAATTTGATTTTTTTGGAAATTTGATTTCAATCAGTTTAGGATTTTTAAAAAATATGGATTACGATTTCGGTTTTGGGCTTCCAAAAATCGAAAGAATTTCCACATCGAATTTATATGAAGTCTAATACCCAGCTCATATTCCCCTTCAAATATAAAATTAAAACCCAAAAATTATTTTCCCTCTGGGGGTGTTTGGGTTGTTTTAATCCCAATAAAAAAAATAAGTCTTGTTTGGTTGGTGGGAATGAGAATAAAAAGGGGTTTGGAAATGAGATTATTAATGGGGGAATTCCCACCATTTTATTACCTAGGAAGGGTATGTAATAAATGAATGAGAATAAGAATAGGGGGAAAATGACATTTTTGCCATTAATGAAAAGAATGAAATAATAATCTTAGTAAAGGTATAATTGTAAAATTGTTAGTTTTTTATTCCCTATCTCACCCACTATCCAAACAAAATATTGACACATTTTCATGTATTTTAATAAATTAATTCCCTGTTTCAAAAAAAAAAAATAAAAAAAAATTAAAAATTAAAAATTAAAAAATCAATTAATTCCCAATCTCATTCCCACCTTTTTAATTCCCAAACTCCCATTTCCCATTTGTCTCTTTCAGCCTTCCTCACTCTTTCCCTAAATTAGTTTCTTAGTTGCGGTCTCTAGTTTTTTCCCCCTTTTCTCACTCAGCCACCGCTCCTCCCTTACGGCCTCACCACCGCTTGTCCCTCACCACTCGTTTGTAGGTAAGGTTGATGATGAATCTGAAGTTTTTGATGAGCAAGATCTGATTTTTTTTTATTTTTTATTTTTAATCTGTACGTCTTTTAATGTTGACATTATTAGTGGGCAACGGTTTCTTTAGATTGTTATCAATTTTATTTCTGTCAATTGATCAATTTGATTTGGTTATGAATAAGAATGGCCTGAAATTGGATTTCGAGTACTTTCTTAGAGTTGCAGATTTGATGCTGTTGGTTCAATTGAATAGAGTGATTTTATAAATAGATAATTGGTTGGAATTGATTGCGTTTATTAATTTGTCAATAGAAAGCATCATCGAATCGTTGTTTAATTTTATTGTCAGCTAATTAAATTAACCTTTTCTTGTCTATATATGTCATCAGATCATTAGTCACCCCTTTTCATTCCTTCTAACTAATCAGTGTACGCGTTTCTTGTTTCAGTTGGTTGCTGCAGCACATAGCAATGGCGCTCTCTCTCCAACGTTACACATTGTATAAAAATGATCCAACCACTAGTTTGAATCGTTTACTCAAAGAAAGGTTCTATCTTTATCTCTTAATTTTGTTGTGGCAATCCCAACTTTAATTTTTTTTCTTTTAATTTTGTTGGGTCAACAATCCAGTTACTTTGAATTATGATGAGTGTTTTATTTATTTATATATATATGTTTTTGGGTGAGTTTCCAGACTCGCTAAAGAAAATGAGAGATCAATGTCAATTGCAATTGAGAAGCTAGACCATTTGCCTGAAAATCTCATTGTTGAGATTCTCTCGCGGTTGCCAGTCAAAGATCTGCTACAGTTTAAAAGTGTTTGCAAATCATGGTGTTCTATTATTTCAAGTCCTGCTTTTGCTTCCAAACATCTGAAAAACTACTATTATAGCAACAATGATACTGGGCGAAGTTGTCTCCTTGTTCAGTTTCCTATACCTTATGCTGAACATGAGGTGTATGAGTTGTTAGTTGATGAAACTCCGCGAGTTTTAGCTGATGAAGTATTGGCTTACATGCCCAAGTCTAACTCTTATGTGTGTGGCCCTTGTGATGGCATCTATTATATGTTTCACTGTTGCCGTAGAGAGCGCGCTTTGTGGAATCCGGCCATCAATGAGTTTAGGCCCTTACCTACGATAATATCGAGGCCTGATCTTCCGGCTAATCTCACTTATGAAAATTATGAAGTTTATGGTTTCGGGTTAGACCCTATCACTAGAGACTATAAAGTGGTGGTTGTTAAAGGTTATTGGAATACTTTGAATGAGGAAGACTCCTATCTCAATGACCCTATATCGGTCCTTGTCTACTCGTTAAGGACTAATTTGTGGAAATATTGTGGAGATTTGCGTAGGCCTTATAATTTGGAAGTCAATACGTGCTATATTTATGTGAATGGATGTTGCTATTGGTTTGGATCATATGATTCTAGGGATGAAGTGATCATTTCTTTTGACTTGGCTATTGATACATTCAAAGAAATGGATGTTCCAGACTATGCACAACCAAGCTCCAAGTGTCTTGGAATGTATGATGATTCTCTTGCATTTATGTCTCTCCATGAGAGTGAGAAGAATTTTGATGTATGGACATTGAAAGAAGGGCGTTGGACCAAGAAATTAAGTGTTGGGCCGTTTCCTGATGTTTGGCGTCCTCTTGGTCATTCGATGGACAATAAACTTCTACTACAGTGCCATGATGGTGGGCTAGGTTTATTAGATCCCGACACACAAGAGATAAAGGATCTTGCATTTCAGCATACATGGTGTGCAGGAGCTTTTGCATACATGGAAAGCCTGGTTTCGATCAAGGATAAGAATGCTGAGGAAGTTGAAGCAGGAAACATTTGAGCTTAGTCCGTCCTACATTGCCTCTTCAACAACTTTACTAGTGCAGTTTAGTGTTTTGTGTTTGCTGATAAAACCAGTCCTTGTAGTGTTGGATCGAGTGCTTTGGTGATGAGAGTAAAGGGAAGTTGGAATCTGAGGCAACAACTTAGTAATTTACTGAGTAATTCAGAGTTTGCTATGCTGCTATTATAAATGTCATACAAATTAACATATTATGGAATAGTTTGTATAATTTGAGGATTTAGAGGTGCTTGTTGTTTGATATATGTACTCCCTTTATTTGATGAAATAAGATATTCCAAAGTCTATTCAGTTATTACTTGTATTATGTAGTGATCCTGTTGTTATGTATGACAGTATGCATACACCTCTAAACTCTAATTAGTGCTTGATGTTCACACCTATGTAATTTGTATGGTCGCTATTTTAATCACCTACAGTATAGTAAGCGTCTTAATTTCGGAAACTTTTGGTAATATGACTCCAATCAGTTGTATGCCTAGTACATATACATAATGGATCGGAGGAGCTTATCTTTAACTAAACTTTTTAGGGTCGAATTAGACCTCTAAACCTTCGATTTCACCATAGAAACCATCGTTTTTGACGGAATTATGCAAATGTCACCAATTTGACCGTGAAATCACCAATATTGCGAGAAAAACAAAGAAAGAACAAAGGGAAAGAGGAGAGGAGATAGAAAAGACGAAGGAGAAGGAGGGAAAGAGAAAGACGAGAAAGAGGAAAGAGAAAGACGAAGGAGAAAGACGATGGAGAGGAGAATAGGAGAAAGACGAAGGATAAGAGGAGGAAAGAAGCGGCGCCCATACATTATGCCCTTAGGGTTAAGGGTGTTATAAAAAAAATATTATAATGGTTCTGACGGAAAAATCCGTCGGAAAATTTTCCGACGGATTTCAATTCCGTCGGAAATTTAATTACTTTCCAACGGATTTTCCCGTTGGAAATTTCAGACGAATTTTAAATCCATTGTAAAGTACCTATTTTTTGACGGATTTACGATACGTAGGAAATTTTCGACGGATTTTCCGACGGATTTAATGAATTTGTCGGAAATACCCAACGGAATGAAAATCCGTCGGGAAATTTAGTGTTTCCGACGGATTTAAGTGTTCGTCGGAAATAGTTGTTTTCTAGTAGTGATTGTTACTAATAATTATATTTTAGTTCACTACAACTCTATTTAATTTAGTCTAGTTCAATTTAATTATTTTTTCCAACTCTTTAAAATATGCCTTAAGTGGCCAAGTATTATTGTCAAATGTTTTCGTGTATTCAATCTACTCATGGCCTACGATACTAACTTCATGATAAAACTATTTGTTAGTGTCACACTGTCACAAAGTCTAAACTCAAAATTGGCGGAATGAAACCGTGCGAAATTACAAATTAATCAATGATTAGATTACCAACAATGGCATGCAGCACTCAATCTCCAACTCATCAACCACCATCACTCACAACTTAATTTGTTTCCTAAAAAAACCTTCACATTCTCTCACCTTCATCGTCATTTTCGACACATATCGATAGTTGAAAAGGAGGTGGATTCTCAGGTTACATTAAAGAAGGTCTTCCATACAAATGAGCTTACCAAAATAATAAATTAGTCCACTATAACAATATTATGACCCCTAATTCTAGATAATATTATAAGATTCCCCTATTATAAGCGAGTAATTAAGAATTAATTAAAGAAGTCCTTCAATACAATGGGGTTACCAAAACAGTAAATTAGTCCACTATAACAATATTATGATCCCTAATTATAGATAATATAATAATATTCCCCTATTATGAGAAGTAACGTAGTGATGATAGTTTCAAATGAATGACTAGTGCTCCACTATCTGACAAGATGATCCTTCCTTGTTCCTTTTCTAATTATGGCTTGCAACATATAGTTCATATATGTCATTGTAGCTTGCATTTTATGCTTGTATATATAGGTCAGCCTATTCAGTTGTTTATTACTACGTTGTATGTAAAAGCATTTTGCACACACACAGAAAAAAAATAACACTCGAAAATACATTTCTTACATCTAACACCAAAAGAGCTAATCATGGAGTTGTCAAGAGCCGCAAAATGCATCTGGTGGTGCATGATAATGCTGATTATGGCGTCCTTTTTTATTCATCCAACAGCGAGTTTCAATACTGTCACATTTGAATTTTATGAAACCGACTACTCAGACTTCTTAACCCAAGTGCGAAATCAACTCGCTAGCTCGGTGAAAACATGTGAGATACAGACAACGCCAAGTAATCCAGCAATAGGTGTGAAGTACGTGTGGGTGAAGCTCAAAACTGACAGCAAAGAGATCACCTTGGGAGTAAATGTCACAAATGGGTATATTTTAGGGTATCAAGACAGTTACGATGGAAAAATCTGAGGCAATGTGTTTAAGGATATTAAAGCAACTGAAGCTAAGGAGCTATTTCCTAATGCAGCAACAACAGTAACCTTTTCTTTTAGTAGCAGTTATTCTGATCTTGAGCGACCATCAATTTCGGGCACCAATAGAGCGACAATTGAATTAACATTTGAAAGCCTATATGGTGACGTTGAAGCCATTGCTGGCCAAAAATCTGTACAAAATAAAGTGGTGGCTAAGTTCTTTTTAAGAGCTACCCAATTCGTGTCTGAAGCGGCACGTTTCAAGTTTATTGAAACTGCCATTGAGAATCAAGCAATTACACCAGAATTTAGGAATAAAATGATAAGCTATGAGAATGCGTGGGATAATATATCTCAAGAAATTCACACAGCAGCGTCCGAAACTAATTGCGGGCGTTTTGAAAAACCAATTACTGTCAACGGCCACAAGTTGGAATATGTCAAGGATGTGAAAGGGGATATGAGCCTCATTAAATACAAAACTAAGAAGAAAGCCGCAAATAGTTCTACTCTGTAATATTTAGGATTTTATGGAATAATAATAATAATAATAATAATAATAATAATAATAATAATAATAATAATAATAATAATAATAATAATAATAATAATAATAATATGGAATAGTTTGTATAATTTGAGGATTTAGAGGTGCTTGTTGTTTGATATATGTACTCCCTTTATTTGATGAAATAAGATATTCCAAAGTCTATTCAGTTATTACTTGTATTATGTAGTGATCATGTTGTTATGTATGACAGTATGCATACACCTCTAAACTCTAATTAGTGCTTGATGTTCACACCTATGTAATTTGTATGGTCGCTATTTTAATCACCTACAGTATAGTAGGCGTCTTAATTTCGGAAACTTTTTATAATATGACACCAATCAGTTGTATGCCTAGTACATATACATAATGGATCGGAGGAGCTTATCTTTAACTAAATAACTAGGTTAAATCTCGTTCAAGTATTTTAAAAAATTACCACATGTAGATATATATACAAGTAGCTATAATAAACAAATTAATATTTTAATTAGAAAGTTTAGTTTAATTTTTTATGTAAAGCAAATGTCATAATCATATCATATCACTAAAAAAATACAATATCATGTCACTAATAAATAAAGCAGGCGACAAATTGGTATTATTGACTTATTGTGACAGAGTTTTATTATCGATATACTTCTAATTATCATATATATACATAATTATTAATTAATCCTAACTTTACTCCCTCCGTCTCTTTATTAATGTCCACTTTCTCTCTATTATGTGAGTAATAAATGACAGGAAGTGGACATTAATAAAGAGGCGGGGGAGTAATAAATATCTTATAACTGGATTCTATTTCCAAAATAAATTCTTTTATACATATTTAATCCTAACTTTTATTAAATATCTTATAACTACATTCTATTTCCAAAATAAATTCGTTTTAAAAAGTTCTTTAAAGCAAGATCCATTTGTTATTGAATTTATTTTAAAAAAATAATAGAGAATTGTTAAAAATAAGTCTCAATTAGTAAAAATATTTAAATTCAATGAATGTGCCTTAAGTAAGGGCAAAACAGTTAAGGTTATAATTAATTTCTACCTACGTGGCACGACGACACTTGGTGAATAGCTGGAATGTCAAGTGTCGCTGTCTCATGGCCTATCTAAAAGTTTAGCTTTATATATTAGTTACTAGTTTTGTGCCCCGTGCAATGCTAGGGTTCGTTGTTTATTAAATTTTAAGATAAAGTTTTGATCTATATGTCAAATTTTAAAATATATCATTGATGCAAAATTAGCTAACAATTGATGTGCTTTTGAAACGATTTAAACTTTGTAGTAGGCATGTAAATGTCTAATAATAATATTGGTGAACAGTATTTGATTAATACATTTAAAAAAAAAAACAAAACAAAGTAAGCATGAAATATTAGAAATTTCTATAAATTAGCAAAAAGAAATAAAAAAAAATTAAGTAAAACAAATTGTTCTAAGCTTAATTAGTGTGTTACCCGAACCCAAAACTTTGGGATAGGGTTGAACATTTCTTGACTCGTAACTTAAAGTGGCCCGACCCAATTGATTGATCTACATACAGTCATAGAATCATACAAAGTATTATATTGTGAAGTATATTATTTTAATAGATTAGATGAACTACTTCTTTCGCTCCAAACAATATTGTGATATAAAAAATAGATTTATATAATAATTAGTGAGTGTTATAATATAATATTTTTTAAAATAAAATTATAATTCAACTTGTACATATGAAATAAAGTGGTATTTTATCGAAAATAAAACTCTAAACTAAGAATTTAATCCTAAAACTCTATCTAAATTTGATTGAAAATAAAACTTTATACTAATTTTTTTATCCTACGAAGTCTATATAGATATATCCAACGTTGCGCGACACTTGGCGAAAAGTTGGAATGCCAAGTGTCGCTGTCTCGTGACCTTGCTAAAAGTTTAGCTTTATATATACTAGTTATATGAAATGATATGATTTATTAAAAGTTATAATTAATTTTGTATACATGAAATATTAGAAGTATATCAATAATAAAACACTATACAACATTTCTATCTTAAAAAAATTATCTAAAATTCGCTTATTTAGCATCCTACGTGTCACAATAATACCTATTTCTTGCCTATGTGGCTCGACACGTAGTGTAACACCCCGTCTAAAATAGAAGGCGAAACATTAGCGAAAATAACGTCAAGACGGAATGTCACTCTAAGGGTTACTAAAACTAAACAAAATAAATAAATAACTGAAACAAAAATTATGAAGAGAAAGAAATCTCAAATGATTAAAGAAAACTTTTAACGAGGCAGAATAACCTCAAATTCGACTATCTCATAAAGAGAGGTAAAGACATCAAATTAAAGAATAATCGATAAAACTACTTGGGAACAACCTAAACACTCTGCTCTCAACCCATACTCAACAAACGCTACTCTTCACCTGCAAATAACATTTAGGTTCCACAATCAGTGGGGAGTAACTAGCAGTTCTCTCAAAACTTGTAGAAACACAAAGCTAAGCAGAGTGTAAAGCATAGAAGCATACATAAAAATAATACAACATGTAGACAAGATAAACAACTACTTCACAGTATACTCAAGATAAACATGATAAGATACATAGATAGGAATACAAGTCAAAACATGCAACATGATTACAATACAATACAAAACAAACATGTATATTAAAGAAAATGAATATATTACCACATGATTAGAGTAAGAATAAATAGAACCCAAAGCATATGCAATAAACTCATAAAAACAATAATTAACACTTATAAAGGTTCTTTAAATAGATTTAGAAAATTCTTGACTTGACTTAAGAAGACCTTCTGAAAGTAGTAAAAATTTTGAAATAGAGAATTTAACTTTTCGGAAACTGATCCATAGTGAGGCAAGCATATAAAATATGAACGCCGGTGCAGTGAATTCCGCAGCCCACCATCAAAGGTTTGTCACGGCGAACCTACAGACGATTCCGCAGCCGTCTGCGTCAGAGAATGGCCAAACTCCCAGTTTTCCTACTCGAATTCCGCAGCCTGAGTAGTTCCGGACGACAACAATTAACCTAGAAAATTACATCTCGAATTCTGCAGCCCAAGATGTTGGCATGTTCCAACCATTGAATTTCGCAGCCCAATGGTTGTCTTACACTCACGAATCAAATAAAGCAGTAAAAATAACTCTTCAAAATTATCCAAACACATTTAGGGATCATCAACCCCAACTTAAAATACTGCAGGTCTTTACTTCTAAGACCAAATTTCAACAAAAATCCTTCAAAAGAGTTTAACTTCGAAATTCTTCAAAGTGTACAAAAAATCATTTATATATCATAACAAGGTGTCACTCTTATTATCTGGATTTGGGTACGAAGCTAATTATAATAAAATATCACAATACACTCCGTACACAGCCCTTGGCGAAGCGGTGCTAAAAACAGTGTTATTCTACTTTAAAGCACAACGACGTCGACAATTCACTTAACACCCAAAAATGGCAGCCAATATAGGACATCTTAAATGCTTCATGAACACACCCAAAGCATGCCAAAATGATAAAATAAAACTAGGACATATTAATCCACATAATAGGCAATATATACACACAAGATATGATTAAATTCATGCTTTTAACATACTAAAAACTACATGACAATGCAGCAGCCCCTAATTATAATTACAGCAGTACAATGCACAACAATTTCACCGAAAACCAACCTTAAAACCCATAATTAATCTTAGCCCATAAACATACATAATATAAAAACATAATAGCTCAGGAGAGGCACAATATTAGGCATAAAAATTAGGCAATGCATCACTTAAACACACTCAAATCATACTCCCCTCAAGTTGAATGGCAGCAGCACCTCTGCTCACGTTTGGGCAAATATTCACACCCAAACTTACCAAAAACATGATAAATAATCTTAGGGATAAACCAAACATGGTGCTATACCATTTTAGGCATAAAAAACAAACTTAATCAAGACCAAATGAGGCTGTAAACCCACTGAACAATTACAGCAATTAGAGCAGCAAATTCGTGAACATTAGAGTAAAGTTAACGCTTGAAAACCACCACAAAACACGACAATAATATATGGTACCAAACCTATATATATACAGTACTCCTAGGCATGATTAAACAACATAAAAACCAGAAATAAACATGAATATAATACCCTCATTCCCCACACACAAAACAGCAAACAACCATGAGATAAACTCTAATTTGCACCTAGCCTTAACCTATCCTAGCCATGATTTCTAAAGCTTGGAATAGTGCTAGTTACCTCTTGATGTATAGGCAATCGAAACTCAAAGAAAGGGATAAACCACGCACAAACAGCAGCAACCAATACGAACAACACCCACCCAAGTAGCCTTGTGCCTTGCTTCGTTTCCGTGTTGTTTTTATAGGGGAAATGGAGCACGACTTTTGCAGAGTTTATGGCAGTAGTTAGTCTTTGATTTCCCTTTTATTCCCACCTTGAATCCCACAAAAAAAAGATGGGGAGAAGAGAAGTGAGTTGCTGCATCTTTTGGGTGGAGAAAACTGATGAAAGTTAGCCTTGTTTTGTACGTTATAAGAGAAGGAGAGGAGTTGGGCAGCCATAATTAGGTATTATTACCATTGATTAGAGGACGTTACTTAGGGTAATATGATCAGCCATATATCCCTCAAAGCTGTTGTGTAAATCAGCCTAAATTGGGCTTAAATGAAGCGCATAAACAAGCCTCATAATACCTAGGTTCAAGGCTTTTCTTTAGGGCTTGATTAAATAATTACATTAGCTTAAGAATGGGTTTAAGGAAGCTAATAAACAAGTATATCTTAATCTATATAGTCATGAAAGCTTTGAGGAAAAACTCGACCAATATATAAATGCTAGTTGACCCAAAACTAGACCTAGAAAGGAAAGTAACGGAAGGCATTTTATTTAAAACGCATGCAAAAATAATAATATAGATTGT